GTTGAACCTTTGGTCTTGTGTTTTGATGATTAAAAGATGTGTCTTGGTATGTTTAATGAGTTGAACAAGTAACCAACATTTGTATGAACCTTAATGTGCCTAAAAATGCATGCTTTAACGTGTGTAAGTGTTAAAAATAGAACCTTGGAAGGATATCTTCGCGAAATGCAGAAACTGCATTCTGTCGCGAAATATCTGGATATTTGCTCGTGAAATATCCGGATATTGATATCCGGATATGTGTATCCGTATATTGATATCCGAATATGGGAATCTGGATATCCGGATATTGCCAGATGGATATCCGGATATGGGATATCCGGATATGCCTCCGACGAATATCCAGATATTCTGGGTTTTCGATGAACAGTAAGGTACTGTTCATACAGAGGTCTTGTATGGGTTTGTGGACCCTAGTGTGATGAAGTGGTACTTCTGTAATAACTTAACTAAGTCAGAATCAAATGATTAAGGGCTTGTGGCTTTGTGTGAAGCCTTAAGACGTAAATCGTAAAACAAAAACGTAGTCTTTATGTTTATGCTATTGAGCTATGAATGTTGATATGCTTGTTGGTCCATATCAGATTGTGATCTGCTGTGTGTTGGACTTGAGCTGTGTGGACTCTTGGCATTGGATAGTGAGCTTGCAAGGTAAGCTTTCGTGTCCTCGGTTTAGCCATGTTGTGGTTCCACCATATCCCATGGGGGTATGGTTATATGCATGCTGTGTTACATGCTTTTGATGTTTTGGAAATGCTGTTGAGATGTTATATGCTAGTGCCTTTATGATATGCATGTGGTGTTCCACTTATACGGTAAGCCTGAGTATGTGGTACATACAACATGGTGAGGCTGTGGGTGAGGTACAAGCGGTGTTCCTTGTACTTACATGTGGGTGATAGACGTATTCCTGCATTTCTCTGGCCAGTAGAATAGTTTAAACACACATGGCATGAATATCTGTTGCACTGCATAGTTTTGGAATTTATATTGATATAATGCTTTTAGAACTTATATTGCACATGTAAGTGAGCTGGGGTGGAAGATCCTTGAGGACCCCTTGTCTTATTGAGATTTCTAGTTTAGAGATCTCACCCCACGTTTGGGGAATGCTTATTTCAGGATCATGTAATGTGGGGGTTGAGGCCCCAGGCGGTAGGAGGCCGGAGCTGAGTTAGATATTGCTGTGATTATATGCTGACTTGTTGGATGCTGGTTATGCATGCTGCTTTTATGCTTTTAGCTTCATTTTATGATTTTGGATTATCTTGTTGAGACTCTGTCGTTTATGCCACGTAGACTTGTTATGTCTTGTTTTATTTGGAGTTATAATAATATATCAGGATTATTGTCCGGATTACGTATGTAATGCCGTGACTTAGATACTCACTTTATATTTTATATTGAGGTATTTCAGTTAGTTGTCTTGCAATTTACATACATGCATTGTTTTTATGAAATTGATTAAATAATCAACTTGGCTAAATACAATGACGTCATAATTGGAAAAGAAAAAGATATTCCGCAATTTTTTAATTAAGTGCAGCTTAATACGACAGTATGATAACATTACCGGGTATACACGGGGTGTTACATATCAAGCGTGTAAAATACACATGGTAACGCGCCTAAATGATCAAATAGTCCTCTTCTGACTAGGTATTTTGGCTAAGGTCAGCATGGGGTTCGACTTTGCGTTTCTTCTACTCTTTCATTGTAAAGATTATCAAGAACGATAGACGATAAAGAGGAAAATCCTAACATCAAATTTCCCGTTTTCCTTTGGTTCTATGATGGCTCCACAGGGTATGCACATTTACACTTTTGATTTTATTGTTAATTGGATATTTTATAGTCATATACATAATTTAAAAGTTTTAAATTTATCATTACCTGCATTTGACACGTGGCCTATAAAACGTGCTCGGTTCAGCGGGCCAACCTACCCGGGGCGGGGAAGACTGAGTTTTACAACCCGCTTTCAAAAGCGAGGCGGGGCGGGCCATGGCAAGTTAGTGTAAAATAGGTTCGGGCCGAAGAAGCGACCCGAGTTTTTTAGCCCATTTTCAAAAGCGAGCGGGAGGGGCCGAGTTTTTTGGAGGGATAATGGCGGGGCGAGAAAGGCCGCCCACTTTTCTCATCGAAAAATTTGAAGTGTTCGAGGCCTACTGAAAAATTGGGTGGTCTCTCTCACAAGGAGAATTTTTTCTTTCCTTCTTATCCATTTTTTTTCCTTTTTGCCCTCCTCATTTGTGAGAAGGGAACACCGAGTTTTGAATGCTCTCAGAGTGCCCAAATTTCTCTCCCTCTCATCATACAGGATCTGTCTCACACCTATGGGACTCATTATATTACTTTGATAATATGTTTTAAAATTCCATTATTGTAATTATTTATTTTTATTCTTTTACATATGATGGGTCGATTTGTCCGCATGGAAATATAGGTCATGAGAATTATGGCATGTTGAGATAAACATTTGGAACTTGTAGAATTATGTTTAAGGCATAAAATCGTTTGGGAAAATGCAAGAGATAAAGCCAAATGTATAAAAAAATGATAATTTTTTTTTTAAATGTACGTGTTATTTATTTTACAAATTAATATCTAATTATTTTCTATTAAAAATAGTTTGCTATGCTATGCTATGCTACTTTAGCCAAACGTTTTTTAACTCTTGCCATAATAAGTCCAAAATGTAGTAAACATTACCATTCTCTCTAAACCAACAAGCACTACTGCAACTGCAGGTAAAGTTTTTATTCTTTCGAAAAAGCTCACAAATTATATCCCTTTTGATGTGATACAGTTTTCAATATTAGGAGGAGATGAAAGGAAGAATGGACGCGAAGACCCAGCCACTCGGTAGAGGTGCGCAAAATAATCAAAAAATTGAATTGAACCATGAATCGAACTGTCCTTAATCAGGTTTTAAAAATCAGTTCATGAACCGAACCGGTTTTTAGAACCAGTTTAAGAACTGAACTATTTTGAATCGGACTAAACCGAACCGTTTCTGAACCATACCGTTTTCAAACCGAACCAAATTAATTTTTATAACCTTATTTTTTAAATTTTAAATTTTTTTTCTTTACCTGAACCAGTTCCGAAACGAACCGAACCGAACCGTTTCCAACCGAACCGAACCGTTTCCAACCGAACCGAACCAGTTTTGAATCGAATCGAATCATTTCCGAACCGAATCATTTAAACCAATTCGATTCAATTTTTAAAAAAATTCAATTCGATTCGATCCATGCACATCCCTACACACCCAGGTATCATGCCTAGTTGAAGTCCCTTCTATAGAACTTCCAACACTTTGCGGACCCAATCATCATTGCAAAAGGAGATACTGTTTTCTCTGGGCTATGCATTTGAGTAAGATACTTGGAAATAACAATTTTAGCCCATAAATTACATTCCCTTGGTTAAGGATAGCCCAACCCAAGTTACATCTAGTAAGTGTTGGTTCATTAGCCCATTGTCTCCGGGATCAAATTTATAATTTGTAATTTGTAGGACTATGATAGCAATTTGTTGCGTTCAAGAGAGACATAATGCACTGTTTCCTCATCACAGTTAAACACGTGTCACCTTATTGCAGCGTTCTTTGTGTCCCTATCAATAGCACAAAATCCAAAGTTGCTTCAATATTGAAATTCATATCCGTTCATGGCCCATCACCCTTATCCATTTAGGGGTCTTTTAACCTAATGTCAAGCGAATTAGAATTATCCACACCTTTAATTTTGAATTTTATTAATTTTATGTTAAAGGAAATAAGTTATCTTATGTCATAAAGACAAATTTGTAAGTTTTACTATCTGAAAAAAAAATAACACAGTTATCAGAGAGTATGTATGAGAGAATTTTATCACATATAATATGATAATAGTATTTCCCTATGATTTTTTGGTAAATGATTTACTAATATAATGTGGAAAGACATATATTATAGTCGTGTGCGTTCAAATTGGCACACACAGAGAACGTGACATGTGTACATTAACTTTTGCATAAGTAATGTATATATCGGATAATACATAATTTAATGAGGGGGATATTTTAATTATTAATTTTTTTATTATTAATCTACTGTAATTTTTTTTAGGGAAACCCAACAGGTCTCGCCAGTCCTTTGGAGTGACACTAATCCTGCCTCGTGGATTGAAGGGTACGGCTTTTTCCATTAGTTTCAAAGTGCGTCTCGCAAAAATTGAATTTCAAACCCTTTAGACTCACGAGTTCGACCTGCTCAGCACCCTAACCAATTGAGCCACCTCGAGGTTAATCCATTATCATTTTAATTATTGTTGAATTTCATTTTTTAGCCGACATTTTCTTCTAAAGAGAAAAAAGAAAAATTATTTTTAATGTACTCTTGAGTTGAGAGTATTAATTATATTATAGTGATAATGGATTGATCAGCCACATAGGAACAAGGTGGAGCCTTGACCCAGGTTAAAATTTAAAAATTAGCCACACTAAAAAAATGCAGCTAAATAACTATGATTAAATTTTTAAATAAAATTTAATATCAAGTCTCTCTTAAATTTTTGTTAGTCCTAGTTCAATGAATAAGCTAACTCCGTTGAAATTGATAGTAAAAAAATAAATAATAATAGAAATATTCTATCTCTAATTTAATATGCTAATAAATAATTTTATAAAAGAATTAAAGGAGTGAAATGTTTAAAATTTCACATTGGATGATTCAAAAGCCTCTTTTAGACCTTCAAGTTCAGCTGATCCTCAAAACACATCCACATTACTAGTGTTGTTGTGGTGGTGGACTACATAGACACCATTCGTGTCACCCCATGAATCCGAAAGCTACAACATGTCTTTCCACCAAAAAAGCACAAACACGCGTCCTATACGTGGCAGCTACAACATGAACCGCCACATGGTGTACGTGTCAGACCTTGAAAAAAATGAAAATGGATAAATCCACCGACTCCCTCCTTCACCAGATTTTTATGCTTAGTTTCCCTATATAAACACCATGCTTTATTGATTCTATCATCAACCTTAACCATATCACAACAGTTTTCAACAACTTTCCTTTGTTTTTTTTTTGCATTCTGCTTCGTAATCATGGCAAGCAATCAGGGTCAGTATGGTGATCAAGGTCGTAGGACAGATGAATATGGCAACCCCGTAAGCCAAACTGACCAATATGGCAACCCTGTTCGCCAAACTGGTGGCACCACCGGCTACGGTGGTGGGTACACCGGTGACACCGGTAGAAAGGAGGGGATAACTACCGGCGGTGGTACTGGGTACGGAACCGCCGGCATACCCTCCGCGGACACTGCAGGCACAGGGTATGGAACCACTGGTGGCACAGGGTATGGTGCCACTGGTGGCACAGAGTATGGTGCTACTGGTGGCACAGGTACAGGTTATGGAACCACTGGGCAACATCATGGGAGGGAGGAACATCATCATCATGGTCAATCTCATGGTGGATATGATGCATCATCTGGAGAACAGCATCATGAGAAGAAAGGGATAATGGATAAGATTAAGGAGAAGCTTCCTGGAACTGGAAACCGTAACGACTAGATGCTTATATATGTGTGTGTATTATATATACAAATATATATAATATTGTGTTAAGTGTTTGAATAATTTACTGCATGTCTTTTAAGTATATATGCAGTATAGATAGAATAGATAGAAATGAATAAAAGTTACATGCATGTAGGTGCTGTGCTTAGCGGGAGTGTTGTGCCTATAGGGACATGTAAAGCCTGCGGAGTTTGTTGTGGGTACCTTCAGTATGTTAAGTGGGGTGCTTCGGTTATATTATAGTTAATGTTGTTGTGTTATGTTGGATTTTGAAATGCAAGCTTTCTTTGTTTTTGTCTTCCTTTTCAAAAACTAGTTCTTACTACGATTATCTTTCTCTGGAATTGGTTTCCTCTGGGCTTTTATTATATTTGCAATTTATTTACATACTAGAAAAAAATAAAAAGTTGGGAGTGTAAATTCTTATAATTTATGTTATTTTGAGATCAATTTATTATAGTTATGGTTCATTTACATTCACACGTCCTATTGTGACAAATGCTTATCAAAAGAAGTTTGTAACTAATCCTTTACAAGTGAAGGGGATAAAGAAACTAAGTGTGAGCCAGGGAATTTCTGAAAATTAGAGGAATTTAAAAAAACGAAAAAAATACATAATATATAACGAGTCTTATAAATTCCTACTTATCGTTATTGGCCTTTCGTGGAGGGAATATTTATTAGAAAATCTCACTCTGGTAAGGATTGGGAGGAAAAGGGTTTGACATGGGAAAATTGGTCCCCTCTTGTAAAAGGCAGTCTAAAGTGTTCAAGCAAAAAATTATCCACTATTTAAGCTATGAAGTATTGGTAGAACCAGAGAATCGCAATTACTATTTCTTGGAACATAACCTAATTCAAAAGCTAAGCTACTAAATAACTCAGTACAAACACATACGAAAATTAATGGAAGTTGAAAAAAATCTATATTAAAAAAATTTGAGTTCTGTTATATTCTCCTTGAATACAAACTATATGTATCTAATATTTTAGAGATAAATATATTTAATCCGTTCGTTATTTAATAATCAAGAGAATTATTAGCGGGGTTGGTTATGAGAATTTAGAATCATTGTTAAAAAAAAAATTAAAATGTACAATTCACCTACTGCACTTGTGGTTGTGGATTAAATATGAGGCAGTTCTCTCTGTTCCTCTCATTGTGGGTAGCTAGAAGACTCCAATTATTGGTCATTGGTTTCTGGTCTTCGATTTCAGCATTGTTCTCACTCAAGTCTTGGATTTCCAATATCTCAACTCTACGATTAGTCTTCTTCTTTATCTTGATTGCAACATCCTGTGGTATGAACCTGCCACATACAATTACCGTGGTTTGCTGCTTCTCTAGAAAATGGCTTTCCAACTCTAGCATAATAAAAAAAAAAATAGAGTAAAATATAATTCTCAATCTCAAAACTATTAAGAGGGCTTGCATAGAAAGAATGATCAATTATGTCTAACCTGGCATATCAAGAAGGGCTTTCTTCACTTTTCTGAAACAACCATTGCAATCAATATTGATCCTCATCACCATGCAGAAGCACTGCCAATCAAAGGAAACAAAAAAGTATTCAGATGGTATATTTATGAACAGCTTCAAAATATTTGGACAAGAGAAGATGGTGATTAGAGCTTGCCTTCACTGTCATGAGATCAATCAAAAAGAGAGAGAAAGATGAAGTAACATGTGTTTCAAAATCCAAAGAAGTTTGAATGAACTAGCAAAAGAAAAGTGAATCTTAAAAGGCAACAACAAAACTTTGAGAGCCAAAAAGGGGGTTTATAATGAGCTGGTTAGCACTTCTCTTTGATGAAATTGATTCTCCTTTTAATTGCAGAATCCAATTCTACTTTCAACAATGTATGCATAGCAAGACAATGTAGCGTAGTTCCTCACATTATTCTTGGTTGCTTTGTTCGTATTTTGCGCATGCCACTACATAAACAAAGAAAGAGCAATCTTACTTTAAAAAAAGGCATAAATAAAGATCATACTTCTACTAGAATGAAGTGCTCTGCCAGCAAAATATTTAATATAAAGCAAAAACGTGTAATTAAACCCGGTGACAGTTTCGTTAGACATTGTGACTTTTTTTTAATCAGATACGGTTAACCAGCTCTTTTATCTCTTACGGCTATTATTAATGAGAAATCATATTCTCATGATACTACTCTGTTGTACTCACATAGAATAATGTTCTACTCTTTTTCTTTTTCTTTTTCTTTTTTGAAAAAATCAATGGCCCCAACTTCATGTAGGAGATAGAACTTCTTTTCTCTTCTACTGAATGAGAGAAAATAATCCGCCATTATTAATATCACAATAAGAATGTAAATTTTTTATCTTCAAGCCCATCGTGTTAATTATTTATAGGAAGGTAAGAGAGGGAAAAAAGGGGTGATAAGAACCAAAATGCCACAGTTCGGAAATAAAATGCCATATTTTAGGACCCCTTATCACACAAGGACCTGCGGTCAAAAATAATGGATCTTGGCATTTTGAAAATTAAAATGCCAAAAAGGTGACATTTTGGTTTTTGTCCCCAAAAAGGGTGGTATGGAGAGAGTTTAGTGATATGGAATTGGATTAGCTTATTTTATATCAAAATAATTAAAAAAATTGAAAGGAAGTTTTTTTTAAAAAAAAAAAAACATTATATTGCTGAAAATAATCATAACCAACCATGTTCTGGTGATTGAAAATAAAAATTTTATATACCGTTACCTAATAACTTTAATTTTTGAAAGAGGACATTCATAACAAGAATAAACAATAAGTACATGTTTGATTGCTGAAACTCACACACTATGCATGTAACAACTCACACAGAAAAATGGCCATTTTTTCTATTTAGAAACCTTTGGTAAATATATCTCTATCCACACAACACAGAACAACACAGAACATAATGGCTTCTCTGAATTATTGCAACATTTTCCCCATTTTTTATCAGATCATTCTCCTGCTTATGATTTCCTATTCACCCAACATACTTTCTCAGGACCCAAGTTCATCAAGCCCCACCATAGCTCAATGCACATCAAGCCTCCTTCCTCTTATTCCATGCGCACCATTTGTGCAGGGTACTGCTCAGTCTCCAGGATCACAATGCTGTGATAGCCTCAAGCAACTCTACATCCAAGAGCCACACTGTCTTTGCCTCTTGCTCAATGACACTACTTTGAGCTCTTTCCCCATCAACAGGACACTTGCTCTGCAGCTTCCACCTCTTTGCACCCTTCAAGTCAATATATCTGACTGTCCAGGTTACATAAACAATCACATTCAATCTTAAAGCATATGTAGCAATTTTGTTTATTTGACTTATTTATTTACATTCAAGAAGTGTGTTCTATGCTAGTTTTTAAACTCCTATTTTTTAATCCATCAGTGTTACATTCTTTAGTCCAATTCTGGGTATATAAATAGCATACTTGAGGAATTTCTTGTATTATTTATTGAATCGGTTTCCACTCTATTTTTGCCGTAGGTGAACATGAACAAGTGCAAGTGCCTCCAACAACTTCACCAGATTCTCAAGTTTCCTTCGGGACAAAGAAAAACTCTACTGTTGTTGGTATACTAGCACCTGCTTTTTCCATCCCATTAGTCATCATTCTTATATATGTATTATTATGAGAAACCTCAATAATGTTTCAAAATGAATGGAAAATATGAACCTTATAGAGCTACAGCTAGGTTGCCTTGGATTTGGTCTCTGCTGTTGTGAATCAACTTTGCAGAATTCCATCCATTATAATTATATTATAAAACACAATTATAAAATTAAGTTAAAAGAAAATAATTATAATGATTAGATTTACAAACTGCAGCCAATTTTATTAATTGCAGAGAATTATAATGTCCTTTAATAATAATTTCATTTTTCAATATCCTAAAGTCGAATGCTTTTTAATGATCTTTCACTTCTGCTGAATTTGTAGCTTCTCCGGCATTTTCAGTACCACCAAGACCTAGCATGATGGGATTTGGGTTTGGAAGAAACGAAGCCATTAATTTGAAGACAGAGAATGGATTAGCTGTTGTTATGACTATTGCAATTCTACTGTTCACATCAGTGGCTTACTAATTTCGGTTGAAATCATACATTCAGTTCATATAGGTATAGGGTCTAATGAGACTATAGCCAACAGAACTTTTCTTAGTAGATTGGTTAAGTCATTTCTTTCATAGTTTGTACGTAGATTATTCTGTCCATGTGTATTTCCCTAAATAAAATATGCTATTATTATTTACATCTTATAAAATTTAATATTCTCCCAACTGCTTAAGACAAGACAAATTTGAATTGTCAATGGCCTTCACATCTCCATGCATCAACAAGTAATAATTAAAGCAATATGATAATCAGTCACGTTGAATTGTAAAACAACATAATCACCCAAATAAAGCAGACATAAGAAGAGAAGATCGTCAACAATGATTTGAGCAATCAGATGCAACTTTCAAGATTTAAAGAAATATAACACAGGCACCAATATGACAACAGTTTGTAAGGAATAACAATACATTTCCGCTTGCAACTAATTCACTTGGTTTGTCTCGGAATTGATACAACTTAAGAGGGTATACGTGTAAACAAAAGGATTGCCTTACAAATTGAGTGCAACAGAGTTTGAATTCATCCACCTGGATCTATATGCTAAAAATAAGGTATTTTTGCAGTATCTATGGATATAGATTACTCCAAACTAGGAGCCACCTCTGTTGGATTGGACTCAAATACATCTGAGTCAGATCCCTCAGGTTCTTCTAAAAATTCTCTAGACTGCACAGACTCCTTGTATGCAGGAGTTTCCTTAAAATCTGTTGCTCCTTCATTATATGTTGCCACAGCAATCCCACATGCAACTAGCTGCAATCACAGTGAACATAAAAAACATTTAAAATTAACCTATAGTGTGACTAGAGTACTCAGACTCTTCAAGCAAGACATTCTTTGGCATGAAAGAGGGCGAATTATAACATAAGAAGATCTGAAGTTGAGACCATGCCAACTAGACAAGAAAAGCAACTGATGAATAGAAACAAATCCAACAAATTCTTAAAGAAAAATCTTAGGAGTGATTACTAGTTGAACAGTCAACTAAGGAAGCAATTGAAAGCAATGATACTAGCAATGTTCTATGTGGGAATACGTTCTTCGGAATTCAATAACCAAAACTACTCCCTATTAACCCCGACTAGCAAAGGTGGGATGAGAGCATTCCTTCTACACAGTCTTACCTATGCATAATTGTAAAAACATTGTTTCCCTAATTAAAACTTGTGACCTTTCCATCTCTATGGTCCAATTTTATCAATACTCCAGGCTCGCCTCAAAAAAGTGGCATAATATCTTATACCAAAACCACTTCTCATTAAACCACGACTAGTAAGGGCGGGATGCTCCAGGCTCACCCTTAAAAAAGTGGCATAATATCTTATACCAAAACCACTTCTCATTAAATCCAACTAGTAAGGATGGGGTGAGGGCAATTCTAATAAATATCTTATACCAAAACCACTTCTCGTTAAACTCAATTAGTGAGGATAAGGTGACAGCAATTCTTATAAGCCTCTTACTCTTATATAATTAAAAGAGATTCTTTCCCGAATTCAAGCCCGTATACAAAACAACTGTTTCACTACTCGAGCCTCGCCCTCATTATTCCAGAACTCACTAACCATTCTCGCAAAATCACTTTCCAAAAAGTTGTAATTCAAATAACTAGGACAATGGTTAGGCAAATACATCACAATAAAACTTTTCCCAAATCACAGTATTTACTAGGAACCCATTATCAAGTTTATTTTTTTAAATAAAATAAAAAGAAATAACACTTCAAAATTTAGTAAATAAATTAAAACTAGCAGAAACGTTTTAAAAATTTAGTGGTATCATACCGCAAAAACAACACCAAAAGCCCACATATACTGAACGAAGAAGCCGAGTGCGTCCCACTGGGTCCCTTCCCAGAAGTCAGTTTCATCGCCGGGAAGCTTCGGCAAGAAGTATCCGTCGTCGGCGTCATCAACGGAGTCTTCAATCTCAGCCGTCCGTTGCAGTTCCTGATCGGTGGTGGTGGTTGTGCCACGTCGGTTCCTTCCAGAGCGAGAGGAGAATTTCTTCGCCGAGACTAAGTGAAGGTTTCTTCTTGTTCCAGTTGAGGATGATGATGAAGGGAGTGTGAGGTGAGAGAGAGGGGTGTAAGGAGTACCGGTGGTGTTGCCGCAGAGGATTCTAGCACCACCACCACAGCCACTACCAATGGCTACGGTGAACGTCATTGGTGGATGAGAGTGCACAAGAGAAGATGATGATGCTTGCCTCTGTGGATAAGACTAGGAGAAAAACAACGTTTGAGGTTTCGGTGATATCCTCCAATTCTGTGTCAATAATTTGGAACCCTTTTTTTCCTTTTGTTTTTTTCCACTTGCTAACCCAATATGTTTCGGGCACTTCAAACATATTTTTGGGTTATACTTGTCTCTTTCCAAGTAAAATAAATCAAATTTTTACACATATATAGTACAGTTAAATTTTTTTTCTATTTTTTTTCTCTTCAATTATTTACGAGTTTCACTTATATTTTTATTTCTGCAACATAAAATAACACAATTATACTAACATAAGAAAAAGATTTCCTTATATTATTAGAGGGAATATGTTTCTCGTGTTGCATAAAAGTGAAAGAGAGAAAAAAAAGTGAATCTCATTTACTTTTTATGTGTGCTTCTGACAATTTTATCTAATATGAGAGTTATATTTCCCATATGATTAAGGGTTTAATGTTTAGGCTTTGTAAAAAAAATCTGTCTCACTCACGCAAAAGTAAGTGAATTTCATTAACTTTTTCTCTCTCCTTTGTACAATTGGACCTTGTCATTTTTACCTGAGTGTGGCAGAGAAATTTTTCTGCAACAACAAATAGAAACATTTTTTCGTATTATGAATTAGAGAAGGTTACACTTATTATCATTTTAGCCTTACCATTCTTTCTACCTAGTTGTTAAAGGTTTCTCAATTTTCATAAAAATAATTCCTTTTTTACAAAATACTAGAGACCTTAAGTAAAATAAAAAAACTGCAAATTTATATATGGTTTTAGATTACATTTAATTTTTTTTATATCATCCATTGATTCATCCAGGGAAGGACTAAAGGAGGGGCTAGCTATAACATCCTCTATATTAACTAGCATAAAGAATATCACATTAATTCTTAAATCTTATTTTAAATAAAAGAACGGTAATTATTTGAAATTTTAACGCAACAGATATAAAATAAAACATATGATAAAATATTCTTAAAATTTAATTATGCATTAACCAAAAAGTCAAATTTACTAGTACATTTGGATTAGATTAAATTACATCAGCAGAGATAGTTGTGGAACCAATGCACTCTACGTAAAGAATATAAAGGTTCAACGATTTTGATGATAACAAACAAGCACGAAAGGAAGGCTTCAAGTTGCAACAATCAAAAAGAAACAAACATCCAACGATCATGAAGTCCTTCAAGATTCAAGCTTCAAGAGAAGAATCTAAGTCCAAGAATTATCAAGTAATATACTTTAGGACTTAGAATTAATTGTGAGGGTAACTGACCTCTTGCATGAATAAGCTCAAACGTATTTTCATTAAAATACATGCATTAAATTATCATTTAATTACACAGAGGATTTAGAAGCATTACGCTTTCATATAAAAATGTTTTAAAAGGTTTTAGAATATTTTTAAACGTATTTCCAACCCTTCTAAAAGGTTGGGAATCGATTCCCTGTGATAAGGAATCGATTCTCACTTATCTGAAAGATTGGAAATCGATTCCCACTCATTGGGAATCGATTCCTACTGCATCAGAGGACAAAAATAACAGCTATAAATGGCTAAAATGAGTGTGCAAAGGGTCATGGGGGCCTCTATAAATAGTGACCATTGTTCCCCTTGATGGGACACACTTCTTAATCATAATTCTTGCTTTATTTCACATCATTTACTTACTTTCATTCATCTTGATCATAAATCATCTTTGAGCTTTATTCTTGTGAGAGTGTCAACAACCATTGTTCTTCAACTTGTGTTATTTGTACTTTGAGACTACTTAGCCATTGTTAAACATCTTCCTTTGATTTCTTGAGTAGTTAGGGGAGTGAACCCTATACACTTGAAAAGTCACCAAATTCCTAAGAAAATTTGGAGTGAAAAATTGTGAGGCATCAAGAGCCCGAAGTCTTGAAAGGTTGTAGTGGTTTGTCAAGCACCCTCAAGCTTGATAGTTAGTGAAAAGAATTGATCGAGCGGCTTCAGTCTGGACGTAGGTCACAGTGGTGGCGACCGAACCAGTATATATCTAGTTTGCAATTTCTCTAACCTTAATCTCTTTATTTAAGTATTAAAATTGTATTTTAGATTGTCTTTATATATTCGCTTGCTTACTTTGTTGATCACTACACTTACTCTTACACTTAGATTTTTCCTTATTAAATCACTTTATTGAAGAAATAGTCTTTAAAATATAAAATGAGGTACTTTGCGAAAAGATTTTGTAAAACTCAATTCACCCCTCCTCTTGAGTATTGAAGCCACTTGTCCAACAATAATAAGCATTTAAATTATATAGGACTCACAAGTAGGTGTCTTAAGTCTCATTTAGTATGCTCTATGTGTAAAGTCTTTATTCTATCAGTGTAAAAAAAAGCATCCACTCCTTCACCAATCATGATGTAAACCTCTCTATGATCCTCATAAAAGTAGATTGTTGTTCCTCATCCTTCACCAATCAGATACAAAATAGGCATACTTTTTTTATGGACAGATTAGCATAAACATGAACACACATGAGATAAATCTCATTGATATTGGATTTTTGAACAATAACAAATAAAGCCGCTTTAGCGAAAAATATCATTTTCACATGACATGTTTATAATAAGAAAATAATAACTTAAAAAACAATCATATAAAAGAACATGAAATCCAGACCTTTGGGGGTTTTGAATATAGAAAAGAATGTGTAGTCTTTAACTGAATGACTGAAACCCAAACCTTTGTGGGTTATGTATGTGAAAGGTTCCGATTGGCGAAGCTCAAGCCAGATAAGGCGTCCCTTACCCTATAATCGACTGATCCAAACCTCTACGAGTCAGTTCACAACAGAATCATTTAGTTAAAGATTACATATTCCTTTAATATTCGTTTGGTACCAAAGAAAATTCTTAGTTCTATATTCTTGATTCTGTATTATTCTTAAAATCAATAGGAGTATATCCATCAAATCCACAACTGAAGTTTATAAGACAAAACCAAGGGTAGAAAATAAAACCAAAGATAGAAGATAAATCAAAAAAGTAGAAAATAGTTGGCCAGAGTAACAACACCTTCACAATTTTTAAAGAATTAATTTCAAAATACAAACTTTAAATATAAAATGGATGAAAAAGAATGAAAATAGGAGAATGAGGTTCTCTTCCAATATTATTTTCCTCTTTTATTTTTCTCACTTTCTTCTTCTCTCTATCGCCTTTTCTCCTTCCTTCTTTACCTTTTTCTTTTCTCTTTTTCCTTTTTTCTTTCCCCTCTCCCTATTCTCCTTTCTTCTTTCTTTTCTCTCGGTTTCGTCTCTTTCCCCTTTACTGCTTTCCTTTCTTTCTTTTCCGTTTCCTCCCTCTTTCACGTCAGGGGTGTATATAGAGATAAACATGTTAACTCTTTTGGCTAAGCTAATCATTACATATAGTTAAATTTTAACAAAACTAACCAAAATGTAGCTAAATTCTAACTAAGCAATCATCGCCTAAATAAAAATCCTACATCTTTATCTCTTTAGCTTGCAACAAATACTTCCATATAGTCTTATTTATTTATTTTTATGCTACTATTATTTTTTATTTATATATTTTTTATTTATTTATTTTCACGCTACTGTGCACTTTTCTTGGTATACAATGGCGATAAAAAACACCAATCTATGACACCTAATTGCGTTAAAAGCGCCAACGCCCCATTTGATATAACCATGGCGATTTAAGCACCCCCACAAGGCACATCGTGGCACTTTAAGCCCCGCACTTTTCATAATTATTATTATTTTTTAATATTACACTAGCATGGGTCGCCAACCCTCCCTATATTTTTTATTTTTATTATTTTATATACAAAATAATATTTTTTAATAATAATAAGTTATTTGCATTGATAGTTAGTCCCTCCCTCAAAAATATTTATAATAGTTAGTATCTATTATTAGTCTCAATAATACTTATAATTTTAAAATTTTATTTTCACCCCGTGTTATAAAAATTCCTAGATCCGCCATTGAGTTCATCGATTATTCGACTTGTCCGATTCGAGACAAGTAGGACCATGATTGAGGCAAAACTTTCACTAACAAAATTTAATACATTTGTAAAATCTTATATTTTTTATTTTCATTTTTATGAAATTTAAATTTATTTTTTGAATTAATTATGCATATTGTTGTATATACAAGTAGTAGAAGTAGTAAAGGCTTAGTCCCACATCATGAATTTCAGCTTGTATGTACCCAATAATTCTATATATAACATAATCTCTGGTGTGCTATTACACACATGAAATTATTCCAATATTCCTTTCATCTCTTATTACTTTACATGGTATCTAGAGTCTAACGAAAGGAACCATGATTCACTTATTTTCTCCAATGAGCCCACTGTGCATTTCTTTTTCAATTTTTTTCCCGGATAATGTGTCTTTGTCAGTTTTTGCAAGTCTTTTTTGTTCTTAGGTTGTCTCTACATTACTGTCGGCCCTTTCTCATCGTGAACCGTCTTCGTAAACCCGTTGATCGCTGCTCGTCTGTCGTTGACCACCATCGTCCGACGGCTTTTTTCGGCGAACCACCTATCATTGTGCTCGTCTCGGTAGCGTGGTTCACTCTTTCCAGGTTGCGTTCCTATTCGATCATCCACGCGCCCTCACACGTACGTTGAAGTTTCGCTTCTCCCTTCGGTTGACCGGCGCGTGGCGTCTCCTTTTCATGCTCATTTGGATCATCCAAGTCTTGCCAATCTTTAGAAAATGGTACCTTATTTATTATATCTATCTAGTTTACGTTATGAGTCATGTAAGTTTGGTAAACATACTCGTAGCACGTTCCCAAGTCTTCTTAGTCGTCGAGCTTTGTCTCCTTTTTCTTTGGTTCATTATGTTATTTGGGGGCCAAGTCGCCATCCTTCTTCTTTGGGGTTTAAGTATTTTGTTATATTTATTGATGATTACTCCAGACGTACTTAGTTATTTTTAATAAAAAATCATTTTGAGTTACTATCTATTTTTCAGTTATTCTATTATGAAATAAAAACTCAGTTTGGTATTCATATTTGTACTTTTCATAGTAATAAATCTTGTGAGTATTTATCTTATCAATTT